AGTCCTATTTCAGTATTACAATGGAAAGGTATTTCTGATGAGAGAAAATCTGTGGTATTCAGAAACTCTTAAAAGAAAATCAACATTTTTAAATTAGGAATGATAAAAATTATATTCTAATAATGTTGGCAATATGTTTTTTGGTTTTGCCTCAATTTGTGTTTGTTAAATTGTTCTGTGCTCAGTTTGTGCTAGTATTTAACTAGATACTATGATGAAAGTTTTAAAATCTTAGATCAGCTTCTTGAATATCCATTCTCTGTCTTTGCAGAGAAAGATGAGCTTCACAGCAGGAGACAGTGCAGTAAGACAGAAAGAGAGCAGAAGAGATTTTGTTTCAAGGCTTTCTATATATGCAGAAAGAGCTGTTAAATCTTACACTTCAGGAAATCAAACCGGAAATCAAACCTGAATAATTTATTGGAAATCAGATCACTCCACAATCTTTTGGAAGTGTTTATGTGGGTAACATCACTTCCCCAAAACTCTGAAGCAGTTCAAAATATTTTAATAAAAGCAGATTTTTTTTTCCACCTTTCCTGATATTTAGACCTACTGAGATATCTTTTCCCCAAGAAAGTGAGACAAGCAGTAAAAGGGGAAGTGGAGACAGAGTTACCAGGTCACTGGAAGACCAATGCTAATAACTGCGTATTGTCCTGTGAACACATTCCCACTCCTAAATTAGGCTGGCAACACATGCAATTTTTAAAAGTAGGTGTTACACTGAAATATTTCTAGGAGGCACCCTGGTATCTGCAGTGACAAAGTCTGAACCACGTCTTCTTTTTGCTTCAACCAGAAGAGAAATAAGTCACTCACATCATTGTTTTGGTATTCAGAAAATAGAAAATTGCATTCTCTTGGGGGAGTTGGAGGTGCCAGAGCTCAGAACGACAGCGGACCAAGCGAAACAAAGGGGGTCCTTTCGCCTGTTCCTCTAATTGACTAGTTAGTAATGTCTGAACTGCCCCTGACTGACTGAGAGTGATCTCGCCATCCTCTTTGATCAGGTCTGTCCCAGCCCCATGCCTTTCAGGGCAGGAAATCCAAGCAAGGTGATCTCCCGGGAGTCACCCCAGATCAGATTTATAAAAGTTGCAACAGGAACATCTCAATATGCTACCTAAATCAACATCTGCATTCACTGGCAGCTAGGGCAGACCAGTCATGACACTGGGGAGACAGAAAGGTGGCTGATGATGCTCTCGGCTACTTGGAAGCCCTGGGAAGTGACATAAACACCTACCTTCTGTCCCCAGAAGTTGGATAAAACTCATTCAGTTTTTTAGAGATGTCTTGCTAGAGCTGTATGTTTTGATTGCTCTCCACTTCTTTAGGATATTTGCTTGGGAGGCATTGTTTCAACAGTGCTTCAAGTGAATTGCCAGATGTCAGTGTTTTAGCTCTGGATCCAGCACAGATCAGGTCTTGGCAGCAAAACTACCCTGATTCTAATATTCTTCTCTATACTCAATGGACTGTGCTTTCTTGGGAGGCTATTTGGGGTTATTATGGACAATAAACAAAATAAATAGACCTCACACGCCATATTGGGCACTTGGGATATTTTGTTTTATGAGCTGATGAGTGTAACCAGATGACTGGAGTGAAAACAGCTGCTTGCCAGGGCTGTGGTTAAGCCACTTCTGGCACGTTATTAGGAATATTGTATTTTATGGGGCTGGAGATCACAACTCTGGAAACTAGCAGTTGAGCAGGAGGAGTACAGAGCCTGAGAAGTCATTTTTAGTATATGACAGTAAGAGACAGCTTGTCTCGCTGACCTTGCTGTCAGAAGACCACTGTTTTGACATTATAGGGTCGTGTGTCTGACCATAATGACAGATCAATCAATCCTTTCCATCGGATGCAAGAGATGGGTATTAGTGAAGCTTTCTCTGTAACGGTCTCTTCCTAGAGACCCCAGATCTGCTCTGGTGCAGCGTTTTCCACCTATGTGTTTTGCCGCATCATTTGGAAAGCCATGCAAAAAGGACATGGTTAGGACAATCCTAAAATAAAGTGGGAAGGGCAGCCATTTGAAGAAGGATGCACATGCTGATATTTCCATCCAGAAAAGGAGGACTTAGACAAGAAGGCCTATCCAGATGTGATTTTTTTTTCCTTGTCTTAATCATCTATCTTTATTATATTGGGCTGTGCCTGGTTTATAGTAGTATTTGAGTGGATACAATGGTAGAAGTTTTGAAATTGTAGATTTTGTCATACTAATGAATCTGGTTCTCCTGCTCAGAGGAGAACACCCACTGAAGTCAAGAAAGCTGTTCGCATATGTATTTTTACTGCTGGGGTAGATTATTTAAAATTAGGGGGTTTGAATGGACTGGAATTGCTGTGTAAACATTTGTACTCTTCTGAGGCTTTGTAGCAGGTCTCATACTTTCTTCATAGTTTTAAACCTAGTCACTCTGCTTACAGCTAGAGCTTGAAATTGCAAGTGGTGAAAGTGTGGCATGAAATTATAAATATTTAGGACTGAGAAGAACCCACAGAAGAAGGTGTGTTTGTTAAAGGCATTTGAAGAACTTCAGATATGTCCATGTGGTTTAGCAATCTCCTGAAACTTACCACCAGGGCCTCAACCATCAGCAGGCTCTTATCAAAGAACAATAAATTCTTCTCAAAACAAAGTTTCTACAGTATCAGAGTCTCTGCTTTAATATCTGTTGCCTCTGAAGATTTTCCCTGCCTGGGTTAGGAAAGCACCATGCTGACAGGGCAAGTTAAGTGACCTGCCCTATTGCAAGCTGCAAAGCCATTTAACGTCTGGGACTCATCAGCAGCAGTCTGTAGGCGTACCTGCATGTGCTCCTAAGACGTGCAGGAGTGAAGGTTGTGGGTGGGCTAGAGGGTCCTGCACAGTGTATACACCACAGCTGAGGGGACAGGGACTGTAACAACTCAAAGAAAGCGACTGTGAATAAGGCTTTAACAGTCAGAAGGACTTCCCTGGTCTTAGGGGAGGGAGGGCTTGTGGACAGGAGGAGGCCAGAACTTTCCTGTGCTCCTGCCGGTCACTGATAAGCAGAGGCCAGTGTTGCAGCTGGATGCACAGCTGGCTGGTAGCTCCTGCTGGATAGATGCACTGTGGCAATATCAGGGCAGATAACTGGACATGCATGACTTGCAGACCTGAGGAAGGATCTGATGTTCCCAAGTGAAGCAGAGCTACTGGTTACCAGAATATTCTTCCTTTATTTTATGAGACTTTGAATGTTACATCTTCTAGTAGCTTTAGGGAAGTAGTCCCAGCAGAGGCACAATATTGGCAGGCTGTTAACATCTGACTCCTCTCCTTTCTCCAGAGCAATTCTGTAACTGCTCCAAAACCCACACAGGCCTCTGAGACCAGGCTGTGAATACCTACCTGAATAACATCTAGATCTATGGCAGGGCCTATCTGAGGGACAGCACTGCTGACTGGAAATGTTCCTAAAGTTTGTAATTCTATCTTTTTCTTGCTTTGAGTATCAAACTCACTACACAAAGAGCAGGCCATGTCCAACAGCATGTCTTTAAAACTGGATGAATGAAAGACAAACACTTTTTTTGAAAACACTGAAAATTCTGTCACAAGAGCACTTGAGTTACCAGATATAGTATGTTGCAAATCTCACATTATTTGTCTATCTTCCTTGTAAAATGTATCTCCTGGATTCCTGTGATCATAAACAGGTCTGAGATCAACATTTTAAAGGCAAAGTTGTGTATGTTCCTGGTTTAATGACAAAGCTTGACCCTCAAGGGTATTATTTGTGTCTTTGTTTGTGAGCATATTTAAAAGCACATGGGACTGAAAAGGGAGAATGACCACAAATAACAAGTTAGAGGGTCAGACTGCAATTGGGAAAACTTTTTCATGAGGAGGGTGGTGCAACCCTTTGAAGGGTCAATACAGAGACTGTGGAACCTGCATCACTGGAGACTCTCCTGCATTTTGGGGTCTGATTCTCTTGGAGTCTTTGAGTTTGACGATACATCAAATACGAACTCAATTCAATCTTTCTCAGTCTGTTTTTTTCTCTAAAACAATGACAGACAAAACAACAAATGATGCTTGTCTTCTTAAAACCTTAAAACTGACAGGCTTCTGCACTGTTTCATTTTGTGTTCTTGACACATCAACAGGGACAGAGGATCACTGGTCTGCAGCCCATCCTGTCACCAGTGGTGCCTGCAACTGCCTATAGCTCTTTGGGCTTCTTGTTCTTCCTCATATTTGTTGCCTAGCTGAAGAGTCTGAGTTAAGAAAGGCACCTTCTACAACCAAGATAGGAGCAGGGTCCTGGTTCTTAGAAGAGCTCTCACCAGCTTACTGGAGTTGCTTCTTTCACTGTTGGCTCCGAAGGAAGCAGGCTTAGGAGCCCCAGTCAAGCACGGAAGTTTAGTGGGTTGAAGCCAGACCAGCAGGTCTGTGAGACTGACTCTGTATTTGCACACCACACATACTGTGTGTTAAGTGAAACATCAAACCTGCTCGAGTATGTGCAACTACCAAGTCAATGCTTCTCTCACCTGGTGCAACTGAAATTCCCCAGAAGAAGGAAGACCTTGTGCTAGTATTATACATTCTGTAGTGGAACCGGTAGGTTTAGTCTGATTTCACTTGAAACAAAACTCTTATAAGTCGTATATTTGAAAAGCCCATTTTTCTTATATATGTGATCTTGGAGTGGCTGTTCGTGTCAAAAGGATGACATGTCATCTCAGTTGGGGAACAGTCTTGTAATAATCTTGTGGTGACTGACTGCTCATTGTGAACTTTTCCCAAGTCATCTTTGTTAATACAGTAGCACAGACACAAAAATACGCTATTTTCTCTCAAGGTTTTAGAATGAGATATTTGAGCTGACTTGAGTCATCTCGAAGTTGAGCAAATCATTTGGTGGCAATTATTTCTGTACCAATATTCAGTTGTTCTTTGGGTTTGAGGCACATTCTACATTTTCCTATAAAACTTTGATTGTGATTTGCAGAAAAACTCCTGCATATTGCCAGAGGATTTAAAGAACTTCTATCTGATGACCGATGGCTTCCAGATGACCTGGAGTGTGAAGACTGATGGTGAGTCCATGTATTCCTCTCTTGATACCTCTCTTTCATCGCACCCACTCCTTCCTTTGCAGAATCTCTTTAATTTCTAACGTACTTTCTGCAGTCAGCATCCTGCATTAGTCTGAGGAAAAGCACATGCATGAGGGATTTTGAATGAAAAATTAGCACCATTCCTTAACTTTCAAAAAAAATGAAAGTTTGTTTCTGCTAGGCAGTTTGATCAGTGGCTGCAGAAAACTGACCTCTGAATTAATGAGGGTGCAGTTCTGCATGGGATCCTAGACTATTTTAAGATGTCCTGGTGAGGAGAAGATAAGTTAGTGGATCAGAGGTCCCTTCCTGATATAACAGGGCAAATTCTATTGCTGTATGTGCTGGACTTCCACAGAAGAGGTGTGTACCCTGAACCCTGGCTAGAAACCAAACACGTCTTCATGACATAAATACCATAAATACACTGGCCATCTTTAGCTATGTAGTTTAAATCTCATACCTAGAGTCCCTCTGTAGTTCATGAAGAAAGAAGCAGCTCTAGCATATTATCCTGTCATGAAGCAGAAGGGTTACCCTCTGATAATGCCTCTTTCTCATTAAAATGTGAATGTATGTGCTGGAGCCTGATTCTGCTTTCCACCAGCTAAAGTCCATTCAGTGGAGTTATTTCTGGAGTCAGTGGTGCAAGTGAGACCAGGACCGAGCGTTGTTGTCCAGCTTTGTTCAACAAGAATCGGGCAGTTCATTCATTATGTGCTGGACCCCTTCAACTGCTCTCCTGGCTCTCATTGCCTTCAAGTGAAGTTGTCAAGTCGTGCTATGGACACTGCTCACTTCTGGAGATGGTGTCAAATACAGGGTTTTCCTCAGGAAGTGGAATTTCATTTCAGAGACAGTTGACACAGTGCAGGGCTCTAGCACCTGCACTGAGTCCCATCATGTTTCAAGTGGGATTTAGTGTGTTGTGATCTCTGAAGAATCTCACTTTCAGGGCACACAAGTGCACAGACACCAGGGCAGCTCACACAACTGTCTTCTTTGAGCAAGCATCCAGTAGTGCCTTCTGAAGCCCTTCACATGGGCATGTGACTGAACAGGGTGCGTGTTGACCTGGTGTCTGGTAACAGTACTCTCCTCAGAAGGAGAGACATGTAACAAGTTCTCAAGCCTTCGTTCAGGAACACCCACATGTCGACACACTGAAAAAATCCTGTGCTGGAGTAGGAACCAAGAGGATGCACTCTGAGCAGATACACTCTGAGCTGCCAAATAAGCTGTGAATGGGTGGGGTGGTTTCTGGTAGGAAGGACAGCAGCAAGGAAGAGTTTTGAGGAGGTGACTGTAGCTAACCATGATTTTTAATAGCCAGTTTCACAGGACTGGTCAAACAGCTGTAGCACAGGCTTAGCCAATAGTGTAATTCTTATACATGAACAGCTCTGAGATGGTGTTACATCACCTGTAACTGTGATTTTGTTTTTGAAAAAGCCTGATTTTTGCTCCTGTGGAGCCTGACTTGGTGTGCTGGTTTTAGTTAAACCACAATACTTGGTTAAGTGTCCAGACCTCTGGGTATACCCATTACTTCTCCCTCTCTGTGTTTTAGAAGAGGTTGAGTTGATGTTTGGAGGCAAAGAAATACCTCTTACGTTTTGCTGACTCTGGATGTAATTAATGACCAGTCTTATTGCAGATACACCGATGCCCCTGGGCTCCATGGTGATTAATAGTGTCTCAAAGCTATGTCGGCTTGGGGGTTCCTCTATGTACACTCTGCCCAATGCACCAACTCTGGCTGACCTGGAAGATGACACAGATGAGGAAGGTAAGTTCTTCTTAACAGGCTAGAAAATGTGCTCTGTCTCATCCTTTTGTTGTTACAGTAACCTTAGGATATAGCATATGGATGTAGCAACAGAATAGGTCCCTCCAAGTAGATGGGGTTTTCTTTGTCTCCTGGGCTGGATCTACTATACGTCCTATTAGTCCCCTACAGCCTTTACATGTAGATCCCTATGCTTTACCCCTCATGGGGGTTATGCTGCCAGTCACTACTATTATTTGCATCATCTTTCCACAGCCTGGCAGCCCTCCTGTTCTGCCTTTTCCCTATTTAAATTTTTAACTGACTGCCTAAAAATGCTGGGCATCCTGCAGTTTGGAGAGAAAAAGAAGAAAAAAAGCCCACTCCTTTTCTCAGAGCTCTTACAGTCTAACAAGACTGGAAAAATTAAGAAGACAAGAACAGAGCCAGGTATCATGCTGACTCCTTAAAGAATTGCTATTTGATTTCAGTCGTATCTCTGAATATCTATACCTCTTGTAGCTTCTAAATGTGGCTGAAAGTCTCTTTTTTGCACATTCCAGCTTGGCTGCAGTCCTGATCTTCTAGTTATTGTAATGAAGTGGGACAAATTCTGCTTCCATTTAGCCACTCAAACATCCATTGATGGACTTATAAGGTACACTGAAAAAAAGTTACATCCCCACAAGAGGTCTCATCCTGACTTTCATGGAAAATTCTTCTGAAGGTTATATCTCCCTTCTTACCCAGCAGCTTTAGAATTTAAAAAAGATATTCTGTAAGAACCTACAGCTACACAGAATGGTCCTGTAGAAAGGCTCTGTGGTGTTTGTGGGTCACAGTTGAATATGAGTCAGATCATGTGGCTGTTGAGAAGGATGCTGATGTCATACTAAAACGCATGAAGAAATGTATATGTCTCCAAGTTCATCAAAGCCTTCTGTCAAGAGAAAAAGAATAAGCTGTTCTTACTCTCTTCCCTAGAAAAAAAGTAGGGCAAAAAAGAGGTGGTGGATAGAACAGCAGAAGTGTGCTTCAGTTGCAGCAAGAAAGATTCAGGATCCACATGAGGAAAACTTCTAAGTCATAATGATGGATTTTGGTTGACTGCCTGGAGATTGTGGCATCTCCAACGCTGGAGGACCTGAAGAAAAGATTAGACAAACACTTCTTGGGAGTGACATCTGTAAAGCTGATCTTGCTTTATGTCAGGGAAGTACTAGAGGGCAGTCTGTTGTCTTTTTTCAGCCATCAGATTTTGACTCTGGTTTGTTTTCCTAACGGAGATTAAAATTTATCTCACTTTTTCTTTTTTTCTTTTAAACAGAGAATCCTTTCCAAGAAGTACAACAGTTTGATTTAGTTCTTTCCTCAGCTGATTTATTAATAAATATCAAATAGGTTGACTCTTTGCAGCTGAGTCACAGTCAGTTTTCCAAACATGTTTCATACTTATTTCTGTTTTCAGGTAACGGAGACAAACCAGAGAAGCCACACTTTGATTCTCGTAGTCTTATCTTTGAATTAGACCCGTGCAATGGGAATGGGAAAGTTTGTCTTGTTTATAAGCACGCTAAACCAGGTAAGACTGAAAAGAGCAAAGCTAGCCATCACTTGTTTTGGATTGTATCTGGAGGCCACATGTGTAGGATCATCTTACATTTCTGATCTTCGCCATTTGTAGATGAGCATTTACTGGGATGCCCTGTCTGCACTGAAGTCAGGGGCTAAACCTTACAGACACTTAAGTAGAGCTAGTATTTTCCCTCTTTTTGATGTTTGAGTCTGAGTTATAACTTACGATTTCTGCATACATAGCATACTTGGATACTTAAACTGGAGGGCCGTCACATATGACCTACTGACAATCATGTTGAAATGATGCAGAGTGTTAGAGCTCAGCCACTGACATATCTCTGGTGATGTGCGCATCTCAGAACAATTCCCTTACACTTTGATGAGAAGGGCTGTAACTCTTCTCTTAGCTCGTTGAGATAGACTTAGCCTGGTTCTACCTTGTCCATGGATGCAGAATCTCCAGATGCTAACTAGGTCAAAATTTGGCAGGAAAGGTTGAACAGAAGAGGGAAAGCTGTGAGCTGAGCTGTTTCTTCCAGCAGATACACAAAAAGCTGTTATCAGTCAGCTATTAGTGAAACACCCAAGTCACTTGAAAAGTAGTCATCTGACACAGTGCACAGGTCACTAGGTGCATGTGTATACGTGTATATTCGCGGTGTGGGGGTGTGCAATTGTGATATACCTGTTCTTAAGAAAACCCTTCAGTTGTTATCTTCTGTCTGTAATTGGGTGTGACTACTACTGCCAAGGCAGAAACTTCCTACCTGTGCTCTTGCCTTCCAGTATTAGCAATTTCAGCGCATGCAGTGCATAACCTGGGCAAGGGGAGGGAGTACTGTTTGCAGGTGTTGATATCAGCACAGGGGGCAGCATGTTTAATTGACAGTGTTCAGCATCTGAATTTCCCAAGTAAAATAACTTCTTTCTGTGCTGGTAATCTGATAGTGATTTCTTCAAGGGATGTCATCACCAGAGAAATATTTGATCTCTGTGGAAAGATTTTGCAAAATGTGTTTTTGTTGGCAGCACACATACCCCACAACTTCCAGACTCTGGACTCTATTCAGTAATACAGATGACTGACAATTGAGTTAGTTGCTTTTTGCTTTGTGGGGCAGATAAATGTTTGCCATAATTGTACTTTGAACTGACACTACAAAGTTACTGATGTCCAAGAATGTACCATGTAGCGCATCAGTCCCAGGTTTGGAAGGAATAGCGTTGCATCCATTTTACACTGGGGAAAGTGAGTATAATGGCTATTGCACGAGTATTTTTATTAAGGCTGGGAGCAGAACCAAGTCCTTTTCAGTCCCTTTGCTCTAACCATTCAACCATATTGCCTCTGGGTAATCGTCTATGTTAGTCCAGGTTGCTGTGTTTTAGAAGCTGCAGCCTTTCTCATAAGTATGTTGCATCTCCCACCTGACAATGGCCAGGGGTTGATCTTATCACTGCAAAACAACAGCGTAGTTTGTGTTTGTTTTGTTCTAGTTGTCTCCCCAGACACAGAGATATGGTTTCTGGACAGAGCTCTGTATTGGCACTTCCTCACCAAAACCTTCACAGCCTACTACCGCCTGCTCATTACCCACCTGGGTCTCCCACAGTGGCAGTACGCCTTCACCAGCTATGGGGTCAGCCCCCAGGCCAAGGTAGGACAGCGAGATCCAGCTCACCAGGATTTTGCATAAGTGTAGACTGGAAAAATATCTTCCGACCTTTTGACAAGTAGTCTGTAGGCTCAGGTAGTCCTCCCTAGTGAGCCATGGGGCAGCCATGAGCCTTTCCCCTATAGCATGTTAACAGTCATTTATTTACATTAGGGAAATCACTAACATTGTGTTAACTCTGCTTTTCTCACCTGCGTTGGGCTTTACCTTTGACCCCTGAAAGCAGGTAGTAGAACCCCAATTGTTTCTTTGCTTTCTTAACTCTGAAGCCAACCTCCATTTCCATGACTGCTGGCAAGTGAGAAGATGTGAAGCCATTCAGCCCCACAGCAGTGGGGCTGAGTTTTCTGGGCACAGCACCAAACACCAGCCTACTGCTCTCAGGGTGGAGAGGAAGTCCAGATACACCTTAGACAGAAGTGCAGAGGAAGACTATAAGCTTGACTCTTGCCAAGAATATTAATTCCTTTGCATCCTCCATTTTCATGAAGAGATGCCTTGATAAAAATGGTGACTAAAAGGGGCAATTTAAATGCCAGCAGTCCTGGAAGTAGTTATAGGAGAGCTCCAGATACAGACTTGTGATGATTCCAACACATCATCATCTTCATCATTATTATTATTATTGTTGTTACTATTATTATTATTATTATTGATATTATTAAAAATGCTGTTCTGCTCTGTCAGAGCCCTGCAGAGGCTCCTGCTGTTCCTCTGTGCCTGGTCGGGCCTTCAGCCCTAAACCCACTTCCACCTTGTGAGAGGCCCGTAAATGGATCTGACAGTGCTACTGAACACAGCACATAAGCCCCTGAAATGCCTGTTCATGTTGGCAAGGCCTGGCAGGTCTTGGCGAGTGTCCTGCGCTTCACCCAGACATGACAGCTGTCTTACCAGCGTGACGTTCCTTGGTCCTGTCTCAGCCCTGTGCGTACTTCAGGACTGCTCACTAAAATCGCTGCTGACCTCCTCTCTATCAGTGGTTATAGAATTTGGCTTTTTGTATTTCTGGTCTCTTCCCTGTTACACTGTGCTCCACTTTATCAAGCAAGTCCATGTATATGGTACTCTAGCATATGCCTGTCCTCTGCCTTTCTGTAACTTTCCTGCTAGAATATTTTATTATGTTCAGTGTATTCACAGACCTTAGTGAAATCATTCATGTATTCCCTAATCATTTGCAGCCTCTGTTAGTTAAAATCCTCCTAGTATGTTAACCATTATCATTTTTAAAGGTCTTCAGCAGTGGCATATTAAAGCCCTTTTCCATTAAGCAGTACATTAATAGATTGCCATGTACATTTTGGTATTGATCTTCTGTTTATCTTGTACAACACTTTGCTGAGGGTGGTTTCAGAGGAATTTGTAATACCATAACCCCTACGGTTTTATTTCCTGACATTCTCAATGGAAAACTGTTAAGAAAAGAACTAAGAGGAGAGAACTGCAGGGCATAACATTGTGGTGGCATCTGGGAACAAAAAAAAAAAAAAATTGTGGTCACTTCTAGGTGTAAAATCAGCCTGAAAAGAAACAAACACAAAATCTGTTGTGCAAAAAGTTAAAAAAATTGCATTATTATATGTGCGAAGAGGAGGAGGGAGGCTGTATTTTGAGAACTTCAACTAGTTTGGTTCCAATTTGTAGCACTTTTAAATTCAAAGCTTTTAAAATACTTTCTGCTTCTCTTAATCTAAATAAATATGGTTTAGTTTCATCCCCTGCCTTTGCTTCTCCTCCTGTGACTTACATCAGGAGTTGCTCCTGGTAGGAGTGACACTGCAGGAAAGTGTTAGACTTTTATCTGGTACTCCTCTCCCTGTCTGGAATGTGGGGTAGTTCCAGGGCTGTAGCTGTGCCTTGTGTATCCTTATCACAAGGCACTCTGCACAGTCCTGAAAACTGCAAACTGTTAAGAGTTGTATGATTAAAATCCAGTCTCAGGAGTGAGGGGGAACAGGGTGGAAATGTCTAATTGCAGTTTGATTTTAACCTCTTCCTTCCCCACCATTCTGCCTTTCAGCAATGGTTTAACATGTATAAACCCATAACCATCAACACAGCTCTCCTCTCTGAAGAAGCTGATTCTTTTGTGAACAAGCTGGACCCCAGTAAGGTATTTAAAGGCAAGAACAAAACTCCAGTGATCAAAAAGAAACCACCCTCCCAGCCAGCAGGCTCCCAAAAGAGCCACACAGGTATGACCTCCTCCAAGACATCGTCACCAGCCGGGAATTCTTCAAGGAAGTGAGACCCCCAGGTCTGACCCTGGACAGCATTTGCAACAAGCTTTGATGTTCTGTGATGCAGAGTCTCTGGTTCAGACTGAGTTCCTTGTGCATGGACAGATGTGCCCATGGAAGACACATTGCGACATTTGCATGAAGTGTAGCCACGATGTGCTTTGACATGGGAGGGATGTAGATCCTGCAGACGCTGAGAAAAAAGCTTGAGACATTGACTTTATTCCCTTCTGCTGCTTGAAGCATGTACTTCTCAGAGGGCATGAAGAAGCCCTTGATGTCACTGCTTCATAGGGAAGCCGTTATTCCTGTGCAACTACAGCGGTGAAATGAAAGCGGATGTAAGTTACTGTTACTTTAGTAGACCCATGCTGAAATACAGTGTATGAAGATATTTCTGCCATCTCCTTTGAAAGGAACCTGTCCTGACCTTGCATGCTGTGGGAGCAGGCTGGAACCCACTGAACAAAGAAATATCTCCTGCTTCAGAGAGAAGCAAACTCCCCACTTCCCTGTGCTCCTTCCGACTTCTGCTCAAAGATTCATGGTACAAAGGGACCTGGGGCTTCCGTGTCTCTTCATTGGCCTAGCTGCTTGCTCTACAGCCCAGACCACTACAGCCCAGACCACAAAGCCCTTGCCTTTGTGCCGTATGTTTTCAGGTAGTGATGTCTGTGTGATGTGCTTCCCAATAAGCCCGAAGGCAACCAGAAGCTGCAAGATCCCTCACTGCCTCTGCTTTTCTCCTCTTATGGGAGCTGCTGAGCCAGGGCAGCTGCAGCTGGGTCAGTGATGTTAAAGAGTCCTATGAGCCAAGAAGACCCCTTGGCTTGTCACACATTCATTTTCAAACTTGGCAAATCAGCCTTTGTCACCTTTCAGTCAGGCAGGATCTGACAAGGGGCCACTGAGATCCTACAGCCTTAGAAGCACCTGATGCTGTTTTCTGTACTGTATGTTTTCAGGTTAGAACTGCACTTTAACCCATCCACTGCTGGTTTGCAGTTACATCTGATTGTTTCCATTACATTTCTGTGCTATTCTGTTTTCTTAGATGTGCTCAAAACACATGGTAGCCACCAACACATTTTGTGCCTAAGCAGGGAAATTGAAGTTGATTATTTAAATAGCATTGATTATTTAAACAGCAGCATCTTTTTATTTATGAAACAGTCACATAATTACATAAGACACACCTACCTCACAGGGATTTTGTGAGGCTTTCATGGGCATTTGTATCACCTTCAGAAAGATGAAACCACTCTGTAAGTGCTGAATAGTATTTTAGTAAAGATTTAAATATTTTCCTGCAGAGTGATTGGATTTTTGAAGATGTTTTTGGGAGCACATGCACAAGGATGTATGGTAAGAGCAGAGTGCAGGCTGGATAGTTGGGGGTGCAATTTAAATGCAGTAGAGAATCTCCCACTGAGAAGGGTTGGGTTACAGTGTCTTTTAGGTAATCCCATCCTGAGCTACTCTGAAGTTCCCAGTTTAATTCACATAGACTAGAAGGCTCAGCTTTGTGATGGCTCTTCCACTTCTGTCCTGCGCTCACTTTTCAAAACCTCTACAGCCATCAGCCCCAGCTCTGGCATGCCTTGCTGGCTTCCAGCAGTGCCCAGGGCCCACTGCAAGCGTAGTTGCTCAAGAGCCCTCCACATGTTGTCTGGCAGCTGCCCTCTGCCACCCCTAAAAAGGAGAAAATCCCCTAATGCTCCTCAGCCGCCTTAAGCCGATGTGCGCCTCGTGCCAGGTGACGATCTGCTGTAGCTGCCCTACTAACTTAAGGTCAGCTGTAATGAGTAAGCAGTAGGTCACTACCTACCACCCCCTGCCACAGGAATACATAAGTAATCCTTTTAATCAGAAACACAAATGATCACTGAAGCCAGTAAATGCTATTTTCTGGAACTCTCTGCAGTAGTAATATTCTGTCACTTCCTGTCCTTGGAGATCCGTGTTGCGTGTTCATGGCACCCACCTCTGGGGCTACAGTCACGTTCTTAACGTAGGCACCCTACTTGCTTACGCACTTTGTAGAAAAGTTAAGGCTGTTGTCACCCAGCAGGCGACAGGCAGCTTCTGATACTGTTTTAATCCAGTGATGCCTTGAACTTGTAAGGCTGTTGCAGGCCCATTTCCTTATTCAGATGGAGGTGGCAGAATTCCTGTAAGGGCACCGCTGCCTCTTCCTATGTTTCTCATGCATTCAGAGTGGAGAAAAGTGTGGGGGTTTTTGGTTTAAGTGTAGATCCTGCCACAAAAGTTGCCTGAATCCTTCCATATGGTGGTGGTTCAAGCATATCCCATCAGTAACATGTTTCCATCACACCAACGTAGCACAAAACGTCTCCTAATCTTTGCCAGCAGAGCTGTGCCAGGATTCAGGAAACCTGGTCATTCCATTTACTAACTTGCTGGTGCTTTCTGAATATTCAGGCAAAAAAAAAAAAAAAAACCCCAAACAAACCACAAAACCACACACACACAAATCAGGTTCAGGTTTCTATTTCAGACTGTCCTTGCTCTTCTTCTCTGTGCTCTGCCAAAGCAGGTGTTTGTTAGGCTGGCAGATTAACAAATGGAAGCAAGTCTAGGCCCCTGATCAGTCAGTGCAGTACCTACCTCTTAACAAAGAATATTTCAGATCAAAATTTCTTTAATAAAGTAAATTAATTGTTGCTGGCACTGTGTAGGTGTTCCCTGGTTTTCACTTGTGTTCCCCTAAGTCTTATTTCAGCCCTGCTGGATCTTGTATTTTGATTGCTGTGAATGTACCTGCAGTCTTGCAGCTTTGCTTTGTTTTTCTCCAGTGCGATTATATGTTTTTGGTAGATTTTTACACCAGGAGATTGAATAATTTCTTTAGGTCACAGACAGGTCTGGCCCTACCCAAGTCTGCCCAGAGTCTCAGAGCCCCAGTTTGTTTGGTTACGTAGAGCAGGTTTATTGAAAACTGGTCTCTCATTTCTACACCGGCAGGGTGGAGAAACAGTGTGCTCTGGCAGCACCATTGCACGTGCCCCTATCCACTTGGTTTGTCCATATATCCCCACAGGCTTTGCTGTCAAGCCTTTTCCTTGGAGTTGTCACAGCGTAGAACTCTCCACAACTGGCTGTCCTTTCTCATTTCGACTTTCCAGGACAGGTTGGTTATGAAAATCAATGAAGAGTTTGTGGATTAGAACACCAGCAAGACTTCCCAGTACCGGAGCTGTGAGTGGGACCCACCACCAGTGATGTCCAGCCCTAAAATGAAACATGGAAGAGGCAACTAGTGAGCCAGACTGGAACCGCTGCCTTGCCGCTGCATGGTGCAGGGAGAGGAGAGCTGGGTTTGCTGAGCCAGGAGTGAGCTGTGTGAGCAGAGGTGTCCTGGCCCACTTCACGTACAGGGCCCTATAACTGGCTTAGACAAATTCTCTGTCTGCCAATGTAATTCCCAGAGGGAAGTTAATTTTTTCCACTGGCCTGGGGAAGTGCTTTACCATTGTCTGCAGGTTCCTGGTTGTCCTACAGAAATAGTCGGTGTGATCCTGATGAGTGTGCCAGGCAGGCAGACAGACACACACACCCTTCCATCCCCGTTACCAATAACATCCGCACCTCCTCTTCCGAGATCTCAAAGATATTTTCTGGGAAACTAGTGAAAATGGGCAGCCAGGACAGGAGGGTCTGGTAATGTCCTCACCATGGGAAAAGCCATTGCATGGGATCATGTTACTAGATAGGGGAAGGTAGGGTTTCATCTCCAGGGTCAGACATCAGATTTAGGAGAGCTGTTCAGCAACCCAGTTGTAAGTAACTGCTTGAAGGTGAATTAATTAGCTCTCTGACTCTCCAGTCACTGCAATAACTGGCTAGTTCTCCAGCTAACTGGTAGCCAATTCGGTGCCCAAACTGAGGTATCTGAATGGCAAGATGAATCCTCTGCTGGAGAATTAGTGTACCCCCAATTATGTGTATGTAAGGCATGGGGCTTCTCTGTGCACAACCCTTGCTGTCTGAAAACTGAGGGCCACTCTGTGATGATAGCACCACTGTGCAAAGAAAAAGTCTTCATGAATATTTTATCTTGGGCTTATCTCCTCTCCTTGCAAGCTGAGCAGTAGAAAAGCAAAACAGGTCACTCACGTGAAGACGTCCGTTCCCCAGCCAGCAATTGCCGTGAAGACCCTGGGGGGCAGGTCCCGAGAGGGATTTATGGCGTAGCCTGTGTTCAACCCCATCCCCAGGCCGATGCCCAGGACCAGGATCCCTGTGAGCAGGGCCTGCGTGCCTTTCAGGGCTCCATTGTTTTTCTCATCGTGGATGATCAGAATGCCCAGGAGCAGCATCGCTGTCGCCATAAACTGCAGGAGCAGGAAAGGGAGAACAGGTCAGGAGAGAGAGTGGGGAAGTCAGAATGATCCTGCTCAGCAGAGAGGAGATTTCCCAGAACGGAAGAGCAGGTGGGACTCATGGTCTGATCAAGTCAGGGAGGACCCAAGTGTTATTCCCTCCTCACGTGTGGACTCAAGAAAAGTCTTAACTCCCTAGCACAAAATTCTCCACCTGACCACCAAAAATGCTCTAGGACCAATACGGATTTCTCAGCATTGCCAGCTCCCTCCCCCTTTCAAGACGGGGACATGGGGCTTACGTACCCTTTGTCTAACAGGGGCAGAGCCGTAACAAACGGTTAACAAGACAAATCTGATCTGCCTAGAGGGGTCAATGTTTTATATAGCCTGTTGCATCAGTCCTTTCAGGACTCAAAGCAGATAGCACATGCTCATCTGGGAAGCTGAATCTCCTGTCTGTGCAAGATGTAGCTGGCATTTGTAGATCTGCAGTGCCCAAGACATCAGGAACAGGTTTGAATAGCGGTGATGACTCCTGTCTGTTTCAGAAAATGCAGCCGTAGCGCCTTGGACTGCTTGCAGAAATAAAGCAGAAACTGCAGATCTTGGCAACGTGCTGTCATTTTCATCGACTTTTTTGTGCAGCAAAGACTCTGCATGCTCCACAGGAGGCCAAGTGGTCAGCTCCCCATCTGTAGGCTCTCCATATCTCACCATCATGCCCAGGCAACAGTTTTGTCAGCTCAGAAACAAAAAGCAGGAGCTTCCTCTGATTTGAATTGAAAGTGAATCTCCCCAGTGCTGCACATCCCCTGAGGCATCCCCTTCTTACCTCTGTGCATCTGGCCACTGTTACATGCTGGGAGTCAACTAGGCAGCCTCAATTGGGCTGTTCAGACCCAGAGGTTCAATCCAGACAGGCTGTGTTCATGGGAAGAACTTGGAGTGGAGGTTGTGGTGGCATCTGCGCGTGTAGCGCTGAGTCCCCTGATGCAGACCTGCACCTGCTACCACCCACCCCCTCCTAGCACGCCACAGCTGTCCCCACTGACCTCTGTGAAGAAGCCCCCCAGCAAGGATATGTAGGGAGCGGGGTAAGTGGCAAAGATGGATGCCGTGGCAGTTGGTCCTGTCACTGTAAAGTTCCCCTTGGTGTAGTCGTACAGAGCATCTAGGAGAAATGGAAATTACGGGAGTTAGCACAGAGTTCATCCCTCATGGCACATACACAAGTCCACCCAGCCAGCATGGACACCAAG